CAAAGGAGCCGGCTAGCCCAAAACGTTGTTGGGTTTGATTCTCAAAGGGGCTAGCTCCCCTTTTTATAGAGTAAGTTTTGCCTTCATCGATTATCCCCAAGCGATATGCTTGGAACTTTTAATTGTTTCATATCAATTCTTTGCGTCGTCTCTTTCTTCCCCACTTTGCATCTCGTTCTTCCCCACCTTTCTCTCTCGATCGAACAACCCCTGCCCAAATATAGAATATATACAGGTGCAACCTACCGTCGAGTCTTCTTTGTTATTTTCATCACTTGCTTTTAATGATTTGAGTGGTGAAATCCCTTCTGGAATTCGGGATATGGAGAAATTAAAATTGATTGATCTTGAAGCTAATTCGATTCACGGCAGGGAATCAATCGTTGTTCGTATTACATCTGATCATGTTGATTCATTCGTAACTTTTCTTGTTATCACTTATGTCGATCGTTTCCTGTAAACAAACATCAATATACCGGTAATGGTTACATACATTTACTTATATCAAAATTATCTTATGGAATCAACAATTTAGATTCACTTAATTTCAATCTGATCGATGCAGGTTGTTCTACGTGATAAAGGTTCTGGAGAAAATTTGAAGTTGTTCGTCTTCTGTTGGGTTTCAATCGCTTGCAAAAGACATTGTTCAGTCTTTTGTTGCGTTTCACTTCGTTTGTGGATCTCCCTCTGATTCACGATATGTTTTCGAACAAATAGAGAACTAGAATTTGTTGGAATAGTGTCTAAGGCTATAACTATATTCGGTGGTGCATGGTCCTTTTGGGTTGCCTTCACCATAGCAACTTGAAAGATGATTTATTAAGAGAGAGAGTAAATATTATAAGGAATAATATTTAGCTATTTGATTAATATAAGTCATAAATTAATTGGTATTAATTTGGTGACTTAAAGAGATTAATTAAATAAGAGGGTATAAACTGTCAATTGTTTGATAGTTAGACTTTAGACTATAAATCCATTAGGATGGACTTTGGACGGATTCTAAGAGCTTTAGGATAGCTCAAAATCGTCCATAGGGATATCTATGGAATGGATTTGGATAGCCTTAAGAGAAGATTATCCAATTAGGGTTTAGGGTGAAAACCTTAAGGAGTCTAAAGGTATAAATAGGCCCTTGGGATGTGGAATTCGTGTACAACCTTTCAGAACCTAAAGCAAGGAACCTCTGGTCGAATTCCATCCCCTCTCCTCTCTCCCAAATCATCTTGCTTGCTATTGGTGTTTGTAAGCCATTAGAGGAGTGACAATTGTGACTCTAGAAGCTCCAAGACAAGAAGATCAACAAGGAACTCAAAGGTATGATTCTAGATCTGTTTTAATGTTGTTGTTTAACCTAATTAGCCATTAGAAGTCTAGGATTCAAAAGCATGTTTATTAGAAAGCCTAGATCCAAGCAATAGGGTTTTGCATGCGCACATAGGAAAGTTCTTATGGCTAAAACCCAACAGAATTTGTATTAATGGAACTCAATAATCAATGGATAAACTAGAAACAATCTCTGTTATGAACCGATTCTTGTCTTTTCCTAGTTTCTTGTAACATGTCATATACCAAATAATTTCACCTTGCCTTACATGATCAAAGCTTGCATCGGAGCTCTGACTTTGATATGTGGACAGGTGGTTCACGGGATGGCTGTGAAGACAGGTTTGATCTCAGATGCTTTTGTGGGTAATGGGTTGGTTGCAATGTATGAGAAAATTGAACTTATTGAAGATGGAGTTAAGGTGTTCGACTTTATGCCTCTAAGAAACTTGATCAACCTTCTTAAACTTGCACATTTTCTTGTTATTGTCTCTAGGAAATATTAAGTGAAAGAAGTTGTCATAAGCTATCTAGAAGGAGTGATTGAAAAGCTCTGAGCTACAAAAGAGTTGTGTATAGATGGAAAGTGTTTGAGGAAATGCTTATGAGAATCAAACTTGTAACAAGCTTGCTAAGTGTTTGAGTAAATGCTTAAGAGAAGAAAGTTACAAATTGAAAAGAAAAATAAAATTGTGTATTAAATATTTATTATTTCTTAAATTTTTTAGTTATATTCTTAACATTAATGTTATATTTATTAATTTTTAATAAAAAAAATTTCATAATTAATGGTCCCCTATTAATCCTTTAACCCCAGTCTACCGCCGAGCTACCGTCGAACGATTTCTGCAGCCTTGGAAAATATATAATCAATAGTTTAAATTATTGAAATTTAATTTTAATACATACAAGTTATGTAAAATGAATGTAAATTTTATTAATATAATTTTATACCATAAGACTCCAGTCTTTATTTTTAAAAACGGCAAACTAAGTAATCTACTTCTAATTAACCACCTATGTCTCTACCAAGACTTGAACTCCCGACCTCTCATATGAGATGGTCACTCCATACCGCTAGGCCATTGGCCCTTTAGTCATAAGACTCCAGTCAATAACTAATCCTAACAGCAAATAACTATAGGGTTGTTATTTTGTATTAATCACCTAAATTATAAATGCCATGGTATTGTTGGTTTCATATTGGTTGAAACCTGAAAAATATTATCAAAACAGTTGTTATGTTGTCCAAATTTCGTTACAACAGATAATGAAATTTGAAAATGTGTTAAGTCCTAGGAATCTCAAATACCATAAGACTCCAATCAATAATTAATCCTAACACCAAATAACTATAGGTGTCGAATATCTTATAATGGGAAGTTACGATTAGGATGCCTAGACCTATTGTTAGGATCCATCATACCCACGGGACGTTCTATATAAGCTACGTTTATTTTGAAAGCTTTATGAGTTAGGATCATTTCGTAAGTTGCATGGACTATGTTTGTCACAATTCTAAGATCGTATATCTTAGTGGAAATTTCTCTGTGTCATAACCGTTAATTCGTATTGGAACGAGGAACGCCAGGTATAAGTTTCAGATTGGAAATTTCTCTGTGTCATAACCGTTAATTCGTATTGGAACGAGGAACGCCAGGTATAAGTTTCGGATCGCATGCTTATATAGGTTGACATCCCACCACCGGTTACTAGCTACAATCATCGGTTGACGAGTCGATTTTAGGCATTGGCGTTGCTACACGATAAAGTCCCCGAGGATGAGCAAACTTGGTTATGGATTTTCAGCACAAAAACTTGTAAGTGCTAGTGCAGAGGTGTTCGTCACAGTTCGTTTATGACCTCATCCTAGATCACGGGTTTGTCTTGTTACCGTATAGAATCGATATTGGGTTTTTATAGGGTTTTTATTTCAATTATCATAGTTGAATAAGACTATACGTAGTGGGATAGCTTGTGATTCAAAATGATAAGTGTCAATACCATAAATTAAATCATATGATACTTAATTAATATCATGTGACACGACTGGACGACGTTTATTAACTTACAATGAATAAGTTATTGATATAAACCCTTTTTTGTTACACGCAAACACAATACTTATGTGGGAAGATTTTGCCCCACTGGTTAAGTGTAGATTTCTAAATCAAGTAAGATAATATTTAACTAATACCACGACACGAATTTACAAAATCTATGAATTTTACATATAAGCTATATGAATGCCTGTGCAAGGTTTCAAGAGTAAATTCGGATATTTTATATTTTCACAAAGAGCGATATGGTTTTCTGTTACATAAATTGGTACTCAAAATCTTAATATAAAAAACCTTTTTGGTCATGAGAACAGTAAAGATTTATTATAAATTTGATTTACTTATATACTCTACAAATGGTTACTTTTTGTTTTGAGCAAACAATATCTTTAAATGAGTATAAATACACTTTTAAAACTCATTTTATTTTTATACTTTTGATTGAATGTCACATATTCCGAAAATCTGCAGAGAATCGTTACAGAAATACTTTTATTTATAAAAATATATTATGTCAAAACTTGTAGAACTCACCAACAATTTTTTTTTGACGTATCTTAATGGATGTATTCTCATGTTTTTTAGCAGGTTGGATGTCTTCACTCAAAGGATTCACCATCATTTTCATTATATCTTTGTAAACGCCATATAGTTAGCGTGTGTCACTAGTTAGCAAAAGGCATTATCAATGTAATTTATATTTAGATAATAATAGACAATTATATTTGTATTGGTCACTGTATGTTCACTAATTGTGATTAGTGATTTACGTCACGCACATTGGCGTTTCCGCCGGCAGCTTATGGTGTGACTGATTTTTATCAGAGCTATTGGCTATAGCGAACTTGTACCTTCTTAGGAAAGCATGACTATAGACTAGGGCTTAATCTTTTAGGTTAAGTATATTCCTTCACCCACAAATATAGGTTATACATATATACGTATGTAAACTCGAACCCTCGAATGCTTAAACAGCATAAGGTTTTTTATCAAACGCCTTAGCTAAGTTGGTTGTATGTGGGTCGAACCACAACAAGACATTGACCGGTCACCTATGTTTAATTATGGTTAGACCGGTACATATTATATACACATAAAAAAATAATGTCAGCTGTTGGTATATGAATTCATATGTATTTGACATGATTTATTAGTTTCAAACAACACCCACATGCTTGAAATCTAATGGAAACATACTGATTAGATGGATATGAATAATTTCTAACCACTACATGACTTAAAATTTCAATCAAACCACTCGTCACACATATATTTTCACAAACTCACTTATACAACACACACATGTACATGACACTAAAGAAGCTATTAATACATATCGATCCTAATAGCAATTCAACCAAATACATGAATAGTGACCAGTTTTCTCACACACAAAAACATCCACATGTATGAACATAAACCCATAATACAATACATTGTACTCTCAGATCACTCCATAATCTTTTGATACACAAAAGTCTCATAAAAATCTACATTAGATCACAAATAGCTGAAACAAAATTATCTTACCCTCCGTTGCACTCTTCCTTCTACAACAATTCACTCCATCCTCTCCATCTCTCTCTCTCTCTCTCTCTCTCTCTCTCTCTCTCAGGGTGGAAGAAGACACCACCGGAATTGGAGTTTTCCGACCATCAAAGGGGCAGAAACCCCCTTTTTCCTGTCGTGTGGCACCACCCAAACACCCTTCTGCTTCAGACATCGCAGCTTGCAAATACCCCTATGAGGATTCCTGAGCAACAGCAGCCAGACATCCCCGATTGTTACACCTTGATTTCTTACTTCCCTGCAATCGAACAAACCCCCAAAACAACCACCTGATTTTTGTTTCTTGTTTCCTTCACCACCCATTCAATGTTGCCTCCTCCCTTGTCAAGCAGTCAAACCCAAACACTGATCTAAACCTATAGATTAAATTGCATTAATTTACAGTCAAAATAAGAAGAAGAAGAGGAAGACGACCTGTAATATTTAAGCAAACCACAAAACCCGAATACCTGCCCTTCTTCTCGTCAAACACCCCACCGATCGCAAACCCCATTGATCGACGACCGTTAATGCTCTTCATGACCGGCCAAAGACCGGATACCCCCTTTTCCCCTGGTTTTCCTTCTCTACTGTTCGGGTCGACCACAGAGCTCCGAGGGTCTCAACTTGCTGCTACCTCTGTTTACGGCCTCCGGACTCCCCATCGGACCTCCTCCCTTCGCACCTCACACAGCCAGCGATGAACGATCGAACCTTCGTTGCTTCTCCCTTCGTTCTTCAGTCTTGTCGAACCCCGATGATGAACCCTCTAGCTGTCGATCGACGAGGTTATGCCTACGAGCCTTCGTGTTTTCCGCTCTCTCTGTGTTCGTCCATTGCCTTCGTTCCCGTTCCTTCTCCATTGTCCCTTTAAAGACGACACCCCTTTGTGATGTTGGAGCTTTTTGATCGACTGTATCGGGACTTCAATCGGAAATTGGGTTTTGATTTTGACCCAGCCAAAAGTCAAGGGTATCTCAAAACTTGTATTTAAATTAAACAAAACTAACCCTCACTTGACAAAACTTTATCAAATCAGTCACAAAACATAAACAATGATTCCATTTATTCAAAATCAACCCTTCATTTGCTATTTTTTCTTACCAAAAAAGTCCTAACCATCTAATTAAATTACCAAAAAACTCATACACCTTTCCAAAGTTGCAAATAAGACCCCGATAGTACTAATTTCTTACGAAATAGATCCGAAAGTATTTCAAAGTTCAAGAATTATATATTTGCGGTTTCTCACGTCAAACTTCTCAAAGAAACTGAATTCGAACGATTGCAAATCACGCTTCAAGGGTGACTTTCTACATCCCCCCCCCCCCCCACCCCTTTTTGCTGCTTTAAAATTTGAGGGAGAATACATGCGTGTCGATTAAAGTGTTGATAATTTTCAAATTTTATACACAAAATCGCAGCACACTTTATTAATTGCCAAAAACTTATTAAATAACAATCAAAAATGTTATAAATCATTTAAAAACAATACAAGTAAATTAGATTGCTAAAAGTTAATATGTTTATTCTTTTTCGTGATTATTAATATGTATATTAAGATATTATGAAATCAAAAATATTATTCGAGTATATGCCGAAAGTACATTGCTATATTTGATGGAAAGACAAAGATTACGAAAATATTAGTGTTCAAAAATCGGTCTATCCGGCCGATTAATCGGTGCCTAAACGCTTGGCGGTCTCCAACCGCCTACGAATAGGTGTTAGAGTGTTAGCTAGTCGTTTTTGGTCAATATCGGTCAAATTCCATCCTAATTGGATTAAATTAGACCAACTTGAACACCAAATCAGACCAAAAATCGGCTCAGCTGAGTCTAAAAGACCCACTAGCTCAAAGGAGTCGGCTAGCCCAAAGCTTTGTTGGGTTTGATTCTCAAAGGGGCTAGCTCCCCTTTTTATAGAGTAAGTTTTGCCTTCATCGATTATCCCCAAGCTATGTGGGTTAAACTTTTAATTGTTTCATATCAATTCTTTGCGTCTCTTTCTTCCCCGCCTTTCTCTCTCGATCGAACAACCCTGCTCAAATGTTGAATATATACGTGTGCGACCTACTGCCGAGCCTTCTTCGATATTTTCATCACTTGATTTTAATGATTTGAGTGGTGAAATCCCTTCTGGAATTCGGGATATGGAGAAATTAAA